AAGAGTTTGAAAAATATGTTCAGCATCTGCTCTCATATTTTTGACATTTGTTGAGATAACAGGCCTTAGCTTGGGAATCCCATTTTTTTGCTTCCGCCACTACAGAAAATTGTGTCTTATACACTAGCCAAGAGATCTTCCCATCATATGTAGATAGTTTCAGAGAGGGATGAGCAGGCATCAGTAAAAATTTAATACCATCTGTATTGCTCTCTGCTGCCGCTATGCATTCCTTCAAGGTATTAACTTCTTTGGTGACTGCAGAAACCCTGTCATCAGTTTGTTGTTTGATTTGGTATTGGACAGCAGAAACTCTTCCTTCAATTCATTGCTCCACATCAGAAACTCTCCCTCCTATTTGTTCTTTGACAGAAACTCTTTCGTCAATTTCTCCAAACCTATTTTCGACCGATTCTATTGTGCTTTCCATAGCCTTGAACTTATTTTCTATTACGCAGGTAATTTCCCTTTTCATTTCCTCTTGACCTGCTTCACCCTTCATATCTTCCTTAACAGATTCTTATACAGCTTCCGTCACTGCTTTAACAGATTCCTGAACAGTTTCATCTCTCCTTTAGCAGATTCTTAACCCACATTAGTCTCTTCTTTAAAGGATGCTTGGCCAGCTTCCATCTTTTCTTGGAATGCAGCAAAAGCAGTGACAAGCTGTCTTAATTGTTGTTCCATTGCTCTTGATTGGCATTCAAGCCCCCTTCCAATACCAAAAATTGTTATGTGTGAGTGGGTTCGTAATAGATTGAATGCACACATCCGATAAAAAGTTAATAAAATTTAGTCTTATCACAAGAAATATAACAAAAAATTTAGTCTTATCACAAGAAATATAACAAAGTGCTGGATTTTTCCTCAAAGATATTCATACAAAATCACAATATCACACAATATAATCAGTAGCTGTCTTTTAAACCACTAAAACATTAAATAAAACGCTATCCAAAGTGCAGAGAAAGCTAATTCAATCTCACAGCGAATTCGCTACAATCAACAAAGTTATCTAAACAACAACCGAGCTGAGATGTTTCTCTCCGGCTTTTATAGCTTATTGTTAAATTTGCACTTCTGGAAAGCAAAAAAACATTGAATTATGGTTACAGCTAACATAAACATTTATACAAATATTATAGATATATTTAAATATGAGAGATAAACTTTTATTCAATGTTAAATGCCACATGCTCTAGTATTTTTACTTTTTTTGGCATAGCTTTCTCTCAAAACTTGTCCACGTGCTGCATTGCACATGGAAATAAAACAATTTAAATTATAATTCTACTAAAAATATCTAACTAAATACAAAATTCATAACAATATTTTAACATAACTTGTCAACTTGTGCAAAACACATTAAGTTATGCATGTAAATTGTGAATAGAGAGGCATGTCAAGATGAGTCCGCAGAAAAATCAATCCTGTACCATTCACATGCAGAAAGAAATGGGAATTTTTTTCCAAAACTCTTTGACGTCCAGATCAACATGACCTCTGAGGTGAAATATTTAGGATTATACCTTGATCAAACGCTCATCTGGAATAAACATATAGATTATAAAATCAATCAAGCAAAAAAATGCATCATGACCTGCAAACTTATGCTTGGTAAAAACTGGAGTTTACAGCCAAAAATTATGTTTTGGATGCATACTGCAGTTATTAGACCGTTTATTACTTATATACGATTTGGTGGTGCTCGGTGGAGCACAGAACTCTGAACGAGTGAAGGCAGTAAAGACTGGCTTTCCTGTATATCACAAATGCAATATTCTCAGCAAGTAAGAGCATTAGAGATAATATTAGATCCGACTCCCTTGGACATCTTCATTTGCAGTGTTGCTAGAGTGACTGGATATAGAATGATGCTGAAAAATCAATGGTATAGCAAACCTACTGCTAAAAGTCCTATTGGTATTATTACTAAGAAAATTCATGACCCTACTCTACTGATGCCTTTCGTACATCATGGAAATGACTAACATGTTTGACACCCCATTTGAAGTAGTTTTTCATACTAGGGATGAATGAATGACAACATGTTCAATTTAAATACCAATGATGTAATATGGTTCACAGATTAAAGAAAGACAACCTCTCAGGGTTGGGAGTACATGGTGTATCACCCAGAATTAATCTCTCTCTAGAACAGCCATTCTCAAACTTTTTTAATTTTGTACCGCATAATATTCAAAAAATATTTTTGTGCAAATAACTAAATATAATAATATGTGCAGGCACCAAATTAAGGAAAGTACCAAAAATGGAAAAAAATATACGAAGATTGATAAAGGTGCCAAATTGAACATGAATTAATTTAGAATTCAAACACCAAAAATCAGCATTATATTTTCAAATCTTCACAGGACTAGTTTCAACAGCTTTACCGAACCATCATTCTCTGCAAAAACGCAAATGAACGAGATAAGATAAGAAAGACTGGGCAGGAGTTAAGTTACTGGTGGCATCTGTTGATAAAATGAGAACTAAAATATAATTTCCTTAAAGGCTGAGGGCAAAGATGGATTGGAATTAGGCTCGTTAACTAGAACAAACTTTTTTTAATGTGAAAAGCCTCTAGAAAATATATTTCACCAATGGAAGATATTTTCTGAATAATTTTGGCTGCAGAAAAATTGAAAGTGTGATTTTTGGGCTGGGCAACAGAAAACTTCTTTGTTTCCTTTTCTCTAACACATGTGTCATGTTCCTTAACATGCAATTTTAAGGCTCGATGCAATTTTAAGGCTTTAGTTTGATCGAAGTAAATTAAATCACACTGGCAAGGAATTTTGTAAATACTTCAGAATGGGGTCCTTCAGTATGGAACTCGCAATTTTACTTATGGGAGAATAAAATATTATCTAATGACTAATCTTATCTAATCACTACATCTCGTTTATTTGCACTTTTGCAGCTGAGGATGACAGTTCGGTAAAACCGTTGAAACTAGTCCTGTGAAAATTTGAAAATATAATGCTGATTTTTTTGTTTAACTTCTCAAATTAATACTTGTTCGGCATGTTATTGTATCTGAATTATTGAACATGAATTTTAAATTTTTTGAGTAAAAACTGCACCACCAAAAATAATGCAGTGTACCATTAGTGGTATATGTATTTAAATATGTATGGTACTTTTATTGAGAAACCCTCCTCTAGAGGTCTTGGGAATATGCTATTGTCTTTTCACTATTACTACTGTCTACAAATAAATATAAGAAAAAGCTATCATGGTAAGTGGATCAGTAAAAGTATCCCAGCAAGAGAATCACTGCCAACCATTCTCATTTTTAGTGACAGTCAAGCAGCCCTAAAGGCTTTATACTCATTTCAAATTAAATCAAAGGTTGTTTTGGAATGCAAAAACCTTTTAAGAGAACAAAGTAATCCTAATCTGGGTACCAGGACGTAAGGAAATTGAAGGTAATGAAAAGGCAGATGAACTTGCAAAACAGGGATTGGCTTTTAATCCAATAGGTGTGGAACTCTTTAGTGGTATCAACCTGAAGACTGCAAAGAGTGTCCTCCTTAAATAGGAGATGAATAAAGTTTGGTTTGATTCTTCTGGACAGAAACATTAAAAGTGTGATTATCAGACCTTCTGCTAAGATTGCCTCTGAAATTCTTATGTGCAAAAGGCAGAAGATACAAATAACTGTAAGGTTCATTACGGGGCACAACTATTTTAGAAAACATCTTCATAACTACTTCAACAAGATACTATAGGCAGGAAAGTGTAAGAACGAAGAATCAACATGCCATATTACATATAAGTGTGATGCCCTTGCCCTCACTCACTTGACTACTTTAGGTATTTTCTTTACTAAAACTTACACCCGAGGTCTATTAAGGGGCTGTCAGACTTTATAAACAAAATGGGTGACCCCAAACAAATGGAGCTAGCAAGCATTGGGTTTGGTGCATTTGACACAAAATGCTATTTAGTAGAGGTGTCTGATACGTGACAAACTCAACCTGCAGAAGTACTGCATAAAAGGGACAAATGTCAGTGTTATAGTGGTTCATGGAAATGGGTTTAGTTGCATTGAGGCTGAATGTGTTAGGTGCTATGATTAGATGCATTTAGTAGACAGCCAGTATGGAATGCTGAGTTTATGTAATTCTCTGATGTAATTTGAAGTAAAACCATATTACCATGTGGGAAGAAAATCAAAGATGGATTTTTTGAAAAATGTACGCATTTCATTTATTTACTGTCTCATATAATTCTTATTTAATAACTAAAATTTGTATATTAAATTGCCAAAATGTGTTTTACTTTGTTATGTTGATAATGTGATTTTGATGTTGTCGTCGAATAATGTGTTTACTGCTCATCATACTGTCATCAAATCCCACGTGTACCATATACTAAGATTAAATCAACTTGGATACTAATATCTAATATGAATATACCAGCAAATTGATTAAATGAAAGATATTTTATGTTAATTCTTCAATTATAATATATTACCAATAAAAGTCCTTGAAGTTGGCACAGTCATTTCTGTATTTTGTTAGCTGTGTACTGCATATTATGTAATAATCACAGCTACATAATATGTAATAATCACAAAATTTATCTTTTTCCTGAACATTTTAACAATTCTGCATAAAAACAAAACTTTACAATTAAAACCAATCCAATACGTATTTTAAAACACAATTATTTAAGTGCAATTATAAATTTTAAACACCAGAATTACAAGTAAATGTTTCTTCATTAAAAAATAAAGCGCTTTCACAAAGTATTACATATTTCTGCAGTTTATGCCTATAAATATTAAATATTCTTTTGCAATAGTTTTTAAAAATTAGAATATATCAAATCTTTCTAAATTATACCATGTTACTCTGCTGTTAGCCTTGAATTCATGTGCAGAATGATCATCGGTGCTTATAAATAATTTGATATCGCTATGCCATTTATATCTGAAATCCTTTTAATTCACTAAAACATACAAATTCTCTACACTCCAAATAACTTACAGGGGTTTCTGCTTCCTCTGCTTCTAGGACAATAGTGGACGAAGGCTCTCCTTCTTCACATTTCATTGCTTGTATATCAGCCATCTATGTAGTTTTAGACAGAAAATGACAAAAAAGAATAACAGAAGTGCTCGGAGTTAAGTCACTGCGTACAATTACATGAGCTCTTCACCCTCCCGATCGCAGGGAAAGATTTCAGAAAATCAAAAACAGAAAACTTCAAATAACGCATGCAATCATTATCATATTTAAGCAAATTATAGTTTCAGTCAAGTACACTGATGGAATTTGCATGCAGTAGTTACCCTTAATAATTAGAATACAGCCAAAAAAATGATACAAATATAAAGTTCTTCAGAACAAAACAATATTTCGAAAGTTCTGGCGCTCATCTGGTTAGCACCGGTCTCGTGTCGGCTAAACGGATCGAGAAGAATTTCGTTTAAATCTACATATCGTTATTTTTTTTCGACGGTTGAAAAATTAAGTGATGATGTTTGCGGAGCCTACAGGATGAGAGTGATGACTTTTTCCAAAAGTTAAATTAATTTAAAAATTAATTCCAATGTATTAGAGAGACTTTTGTGTTTTTCAAGATGGAAGAGAAGACCTTTTGATGGTTTCACTTTAATTAAGCTTCTAAAATACTATGAAGATGCTTTACCACCAACTTCCGGTAGAAGCCTCATTTTCTATTGTTTACATTGAAAATGTCTCCCATACCATTCACAAAACATTTTACGTAATTTAACTTTCACTTTCGTTATGTTTCTTTCAAATGGGGACTGTCTTTTCATTTGAAAGCGTGTTTGTTGAGTTATACATTTTCAGTTATGACTGCTTCAGATTTATCGTTTTTAAATAAGAATACTGAAATAAAAATAACACGGATTTTTACGAGATTTTTTTATTTTAAGCTGATAACTTAGTTGTATTTTTTTTTTTTTTTTTTTTTTTTTTTTTTTTTGGATCAAGGAAACATAAATCTGTATGTGGACAATCCCCATAGTTAAAATACTTCCTCTGAATTGACAGCTGTAATTTAAGCGGCTGTCTTAAGTTGAGCAAATTGAGTAGGTCTCTACGAACTAAAGAAAATCGATCAAATTTACTTGTTGAACAGACATAGTTGAAAGCAACTAATTATTTAAATTTACTGTGGGTGTATTATATTTGCTTATATTCTTTATATAAAATTCCTTAATTGATGTTGGGTTTGTTGAATATTTGATATAAATTGTACAATTATATTTTATTGTATATAGCTAAAAAGATGCAATATGAATCTGCTGCAACGTTTCTTAGAAAGTAAAAGTGCTGAATTTTTCTAAATATATTTTCTATATTTCATGAGAGGATAGTTGATGAATGTAAGAGATTATGAATATAACTATATTTTCACCTTTTTAATAACATAAAAAAGCATTGTTATATTATTAGTCATTTTTAAATAAAATATTGTATTATTTCAGGAAATTTTAACTGATTGCGTAAAAATATATGTAAGTATTGTAAAGCTTAAGTCCTTTGTATTGTAATACTATTTTGTATGCTGCTACAGGTCTTAATACTGTTATATACTGGCTGCTGGGGAAATGGACATTTGCCAGATTAAAAAAATTTGGCAAGTTATTTAATTTGATTATTAAAAATTCCTATATATAAAATGTTAAAACATGGCACTTACATATTAACATAACCACCTTAGTAAACCAACTTTTTAGAATGAACCAAACTTATGTAGAAGAACCATGCTATGGGAGTTCTTCAATTTTAGCAAGCAACATCATTTTCATATATATTCTTTTTCTTGTGTTACAAACTCCAAGAGTTTTATTGTAAATCTTGACACTTTTTCTCTTAAAACTATTTTTGAAATGAGACAAAAGGATTTGCTACAATAGAAGATTCTGTTGTAAAAATGCTGAAGGAATACATTATTTTGCCCCCCCCCCAGTCACTAAAGATAGCAATTGTTTGAATCCATTCTTAAAGCAATCACCCCGAATTTTCCATCAGTACAAAAGAAGCAAAAACTTGCTTGATTTGGCTTTAAGTATAAAATATGAATGCAATAAATATTTTTTTCCAATTATATGTCATCAATTTTTTTTTTTACCGTAGAAAGTCGCCAAACTGTACCAGTGTGGTTGCACTAATATGTGAGCATATAAAGCATTAATCCTGTGCCCTGTTTCCATCCATTCTTTTCAGCTCAGTACTCTGTTTATGTCATTGAACATTTGAATGCACATTTCATCTGCTTGCATAGTTTGGTTTACTGTTTTTTCTGTTTTTCCCCCCTTTCTTCTGTATCTTAGTGAGTGTTCTTGCTCAGCAGCATCACTATTAATAAACCACAACTCTGTTCTGCCATGCCAGGAATCTGTGCCATAGCACATAATTGATGGCTGTTGCTTATCAATTTCCATCAGGATGTCATTCTTGGAAATGTTTCTTTTAACCTGAATAGTTTAATAAAGTGATCATTTTGCAAGTTCAAATGTGCATGAAGACTGAAACTTACTTCATCGTAAAATAAAATTTGTGTCCAGTTACTGCGTTCTTGTGAACATTATATCAGAGACTCGTATTTTCTTTCACGTCCTACCTGATGTGCTTTAGCAAGAATATTCATTTTATTCTCCGATAGTACTTCAACCTCCATCCATTAATAATGCAAAGCAGTGAATCCTTGATAAGTCAAGTTCCCGGCAAATTTTGTGCTGATTGAAATGCCTTGTTTAGGTAGTGTCACTGCAAAATCCAACAATGCCCGTTTAGTAGGCATCGGATTTTTTAAATCATGTCAGATCCAAATTTACGAACTTTTGCAGCAGACAATTCTTCCCTCTTGAGTACAGCCACAACATCAGAAAATTTATTTTTATTTATTGAACTAAAGAACTGTAGCAAATTGCCCATGCTTGATGTACTGCATGAAGAGGACAATCAGCTAGAATTGGAACTTTGTTAACTTGGCCATCCTGAAATGAAAGAAAGAATAATTACATGTTACAAGTAACATCTACTTTCTTGGTTTTTTATCGGGCTTGCTCTATAACAGGGGCATAGCTAGAGGAGGGCATCTGTCCCCGGGCGCAGAATCCAAGGGGTGCCAAACTGATGTTACGACATTTTAGAATTAAATGTTTTCCATCCTTGGCAAGCAGTAGGGGGCGCAAAATCTTCAGTTGTCCCTGGGTGCTGAAAACCCTAGCTACGACTCTGCTCAATATGATTTCTAAAAGTTGTGCATGTATGGTTCATTAGGGATAGCATAATAAAATTACAGTACAAAGTCTTTAATCCGAACGTCCATAATCTGGAATGATCTATACTCCCGGACCTCAAAGCTACAAACTTTATGCTCATATGCGTTTAATGTATAACGGACAGTATAAGTTAGGCTAAAATTATTTAAAGCATTTCAGTTAATGTTGCAGATTGCGCTGTTCCTTAATCTTCTAATTGGATTCGGCTTATTATTTTTTGCAGACTGTTAGAACAATTTTATAAAAATTAAGCTTGAACTTTCGATTATGTCAAAAAGAGTTTCCAATTCTGGAGCTGCCAAAGGATCTACAAAGTGAAAGCATGTTTCGATGTCCATTAAACAAAAAGTGAAATTGCTGAAAAAAATGGATGAAGGCCTATCCCTCTCAAAATTATGCGAGAAGTATGGCATTGGAAAGTCCACTATATATGACACAAGAAAAAGGAACTTTTTGAATTGAATTTTTTGTTGAAGCATCTTAAACAACTTACATTGAAAGAAATGTTTAATAAAGTAAACAAATAAATATTAAGCTTTTTTTTTGTAAATTTTGATACCCTTTAGATCATAATTGTTATTTATTTCATAAATTACGATTTTGTAGTTTTAATTGTATAATTTCTGCATGCCATCTTACCAGATTTAAATTGATCTATGATCCAGAATCGCCGAAGTCCCGACAAGTCCGGATTACGGACTTTGTACTGTATAGTATTTAAAGCGTCAATTAAAGTTTTCGAAGCTGTGGCATTAATATTATTGTTTAAAGTAGCTGTTTTTAGTACAGTATTAAATTCATAACTTTTACTAAATGGAGAGAAAAAATTTATTCTAATAATTCTAAGGTAAAAATATATTTTAGGGTACCCCCTTTGCAAAAATTGGCGCAATTCCTGTTTATGTCCAATGCCTTCCCCAGTAAAATGGCGTCCAAAACATAATTAAAACAAAAAATATATAATCTCGATAAACTGCATTTGGACTCAAAAAGGAACTAACATAAGAATGGAAATATCTAGTCTATGCAGTACAAAAAGGAAATATCGATACCTTATTTAAAAGTTTGTGTTTCTTTGATATGTGTGACATACAGAATTCCTTAACAGCATCAAAAACTATTTAAAGTTATCTAAACTAAAATATATGTACTGCCTTCGCTACATTAAATCACAAAAGTAAAATTGAAAAATATCCCCCAAACTGTTGGTAGTATTTCTTTCGAAAATCCCTTTGCACTCCACATACCTTCCGTAGTGTTGATATGAGCTCTGGTTTTTAAATCCTTAAATCTTACTGCGTACTTTACCGATAGGTGAACAAAGCCATTTAAATCTTCATTTACACACTAGTCAATCAATGTTTTCTTTCCCAGTCGTTCCAAAGTGTACAGAAACTTCAGGTTAATCGTACCACCATCAGGCATTTTATGGTGTAGAGCACAAAATAAGCATCGTACTTCCTAACTAGCATCCATACCTAAGTAAGACCTAACAAATATTTTCCCATCAGTCAAAATCACTGCAATTGCGCATTACAACCAACCGAATCATATTAGGGTTTCCAGAATATTCAACTACTGAAGTTACCATAAATGAAACAACAACTTGGCAATAATCCTAGGGGTACCCTAAAATATAGACTAACCAAGTTCTAGTACAAATCAAATGTGTAAACTAAAGATCCTGTTAATTTGATTTCACTTTGTTTGCAAATGTAGCATTTTGTAAGATGAGGGAATTCACTGTCTATATATCATTTGCAAGCACATTTATCTTCTATGGCTGAATTTTCAGAGTGTTATGAAATTTCTTTATTCTAGATAGATGTGTGCAAAGAAAGGATGTTCATTTTTATTGTAAAGTAAATCTTATGATTTTTTTTTTTTTTTGGGGGGGGTCCTTTTTTTTTTACAGTAGTTATATTTCATGTAGAACCGTTTGATTAAAATACTTTAATTTTTATGGCAAAATTAATAATTAATAATTATTTAATTTTAGTTCTCACATTACAAAAATATATTCTCATAAAATTTTAATATAAACTATTCATGAAAAATTTTAATCTTTTTATTATTTTGCATTATATGTTGTGCATAATTAATAAATAAAAATAAGACTTAAAATTTCTCTTATT